TCAATTCTTAGAAATGGAGATTTGGAACTATGAGAAACAACAAGAAAAGACTGCAAAACAAGAAGACTGGGACAAAGAAGAAGCCATCTTTAATGAACAAGTAATTTTATGTGGGGAAGAAAAAGGAAAGGGGGGAAAGAGGATGGAGAATTTAAGATTTTAAAAAACAACCAAAGAAAAGAAAAATAATTCAAAAAATAAGTATAATACTGGAAAACAACAGAAAAGGGGAATACAGAAGAGGGAAGTAGAGGTAGAGAGACAAAGGGGTAAAAAGGGGAGGGAGAAGAAGAGAGGGAAGAAGGAAAGGAAGTCACAAAGGTCCGAAGCAAGATATAAAGAAACAGGACCTATTTAGAGATAATGGGTAAAAATTTAACTGAAAGGGGGATTCTGTAAAGGTACATGAGATTGTGTTGTTGTATTTGAAATAGTAATAACTTTAGAAAATTGGAAACAACATATGATTAGAATGAGGGATAGAATGGTTAGTGTAACTTAGTGAAATGTTTGTGAATAAAGTAAATGAAATAAAATAAATGAGAAAATTGAATTAGGAAGGAATGGGAACACTTTAATTAGTCAATGTTTTATAAAATATAAGTGAAGAGGGGGGGAATTGATTATGGAAAGCTAATAATTGTTCCCATAGAGGTATGATATTTAATTGAAAAGTAACGTGAAAAATCTTAAGACTTTAATGAATTTTAATATTAACAATAGAATTGAATTGGAATGGAATATTGTTTTAATTATATACATTTATATTTTTTTATTTTTTATAAGAATATTGTGTGTAGTTCAAGAATGTACCAAACAGAATCCGAATGGAAGCTATGTATTATATTGAGTGTTATAATTTTTAGGGGAAAGATATAAAGGCGTCATACTCCTATCAGTACCTACAGGAGAAATTTTGTTTAATGAGAAAAGATAATAGACAATTGAAACAGGACAGACAAAAAATATAAATATAATGATTTGAATTGAGATGAAATCAATATAATAAAATTGAGGAAATTAAAAGAGGGGAGAAGCTATGTCGAAAATGTAAAATTGTAATAAGATATGGAATAGAGTATAAAAATGAGCACGAACCTGAAATTGTGTCTGCACGAAGAAATGTAACCCGGGATTATGCTGCTTTCAAAAAAGATGTTTTAATTGTATTTCTTTTCTTTTTGTGAAAACTCAAATAAAATTTACAAAAAAAAAAAAAAAGAGGAATGACAACTATGGCGAAGAGGAATGGCGATAAGAATGCATGGAAAATACAGTTGTTGGACTCTGTGTCCTCTCAGTTTAGATTTCATTTGGGAAGGTGAATGTTATTGCCTGAAAAGGGATGTTTCTGGTATAACTTGGCATGAATGGGGACTGAGTATGAAGACATTCTCCAATGGCATCACAAGCAAAAATGCCTAGTCCCACAAGGGCAGCAAAGCCATTATTTGTCTAGTCGTAGTTAAGGCACCATGCTATAAACCAGGAGACTGCGAATTCTAGTCCCAACTTTCGGTATGAAAGCTGGCTGGGAGACTTCAGCCAGCCAGGGGTCAATCTATTTTCCAAAGCACTTGTAGGCCAGACAAGGAATAATGGATGGAAACTGATCAACGAGAGATTCAACCTAGAAATGAAGAGAAATTTTCTGACACTGAGAACAATCAATCCATGGAACAGCTTTGCCTTCGGAAGTTGTGGGAGCTTTCATCACTGGAGGCTTTCAAGAAGAGACTGGACTGCCGTCTGTCAGAAATGGAGTAGGGTCTCCTGCTTGGGCAGAGGGTTGGACTAGATGACCTACAAGGTCTCTTCCAGCTCTGTTAATCTAATCTAATCTAATCTCTCTCAGCCTGACTGACTTCACATGGTTGCTGTGGAGAAAATAAGAGGAAGGGGGAGTATTAGGAGCCTTTGCCATTTTAATTATTTATAATAATAACTCTAGGATATAAATAAACTACCACCCCCATCCCTTGGATATATCTGTCAAGATCCCTTGCTTGGCAACAACATGAACAATGCTGGAGTTATTTGCTGCTGACTTGGGGTGGGACATGAATAAAAAAGAATGGGCTTGCCCTTCAAAAATACCCTTAAAAATAGGGGTATAAGTCAAGTACCCTCACCTTCCCCAATAGCTCCACTGCTCCACTATTCTGTTCAGCAAGAGAGATGTAAGTTACTCTCTCAAAACGATAGTCCATCTCTGAGATGAACATGTTTATCTCAGTAATGTTTAATGTTTAATCCTGAACAATCAGGAATATTTGAGAGGACTGGCTATTTTAAGAGAAAGTTAAGGAGATGGAGAGCGCCAGTTAATTAGAAGATGGAGTAAATAATAATAATAATAAAGGGGAGAAATTAAAGCTAGGCCTAAATTATCTTTCCAAATTTCTCCATGCGATCTGTAGGGTGAAGTGGATGCTTTTTCTGTATTTCTCAAAGTCAGGACTCCTTTTTTCCCTCACGAAGGTCTAGCTATGTGCTTGCTAAGAGTCAACAGCAACTTGATGGTAGGTAAACAATCAACCCAGCCTACTTCTTAACAGTAAAAAGGCCAAAGGAAGACATTTCCTCCTGAAATCTTTCCTCAGGACTGAACTGAAGCAAGGAAGGCTGCAGGACAGGTACAGGCCACAATTGAGTCCAACATTTTGGTTGTTAAGTGAGACATTTGTTAATTGAGCTTTGCGCCATTTTACGATGTTTTTTTGCCACAGTTAAGTGAATCACTGAGGTTGAGCTAGTGACATGGTTGTTAAGTGAATCTGGCTGCCTCACTGACTTTTGCTTGTCAGAAGGTCGCAAAAAGTGATCACATGACCTTGGGACACAGCCATGGTCATAAGTCTGAACCAGTTGCCAAGCATCTGAATATTGATCACAGGATCACGGGGAGGCTGCAAAGGTTGTAAGTGTGAAAAATGCTCATAAGTTACTTTTTTTAGTGCCGTTGTAACTTTGAATGGTCACTAAATGAACTGTTGTAAGTCTAACACTACTAACCTGGCAAAATTAGACACAGCCTTTGGCCCCACTGTGAAAAAAAAGAGCACCCCAATTCCCCCCAAAGGCTCATTTCTTTTACTGCCCATCACAAGTGATAAAATCTCACATCCCAAAAAGTTTTTTGCCCAACCAGAGATACATTTGCACAGGCGAGTCCTGAGAACTTTTACGAATCAATAATTTGCTTACGTGAATATTACAGAGCTGTATCATGCAGATTGCATTCAAATATATCCTTGTGATCACAGAACTCAATAATGGGCAAAACTTTTTTGGTAGCGCAGAAAAGGGACAAGACCCCAACCCACTCCTGATCATTTCTCTTTGAAAACCATTTTTAAAACCCATTCTTTTCCCTCCAGCTGAAGGACAACCGGGAGAAAAACCTGCAGGCGTTTCACTATCTGACATTGGTAGATGTAATACTGAAGAGGCATTTGACTAAACATTAGAACTACCCTGATAATTACAGCAATTAGAGAGGAATCTAGCAGGCTTAAGAGCTGCTCTGTTTTCTTTCCCAGGAAAGGAAGAAACTTAAAAACTGCATTTTGCGTTATAGATCCTATACTAGAGCTGTGGGTTGGACTAAATGATCTCCAAGATATACATTTTGGCTCAATAATAGCCTACAACTATTTTCTTCCTGCAATTATTACCCACAAACAATAATCAAAAATCACAATATAATTTTTTTCTTCTAATTATTATCGACAAAAGCCTCACCCAACAAATGAATTAAGAGAAAGGGATTATCTAAGGCCCTGGATCCAAAGTGGGAATCAGACTTCAACTTTCTGCCAGCCAAACTCACTCCCACCTCCTAGATAATGGAGGAGGAGGAGGAGAAAATTCTGTTGCTCAGTTAGTGCAACATACACCTTATGTGCCAGATGTTCCAGGTTCAGGCTGTGGCATTTCCCATTAAAAAGATCAGGGAGCAGAGCTTGATAAACCATTGTCAGAAGAGAAGCAGTAACGTGGACGGATAAATAGGGCTGCTCCTCATGTTGGGAAATGCAAATGTGATGTTGGGTTCAAGTCTAACAGTTGACTTCATAATAGCCCTTTGGTCCTCTGTAAACATTTCTTCAGTAGGCAGCAGGTTGACAGAACTGTGCAAGGCATGCTGGGCAGCTGGTTTGACTATAAGGCTGTGAGAGGGCGGGTAGGGCTTTACATTGTGGATTTTTGATGTTACAAACCACCTGGAATCACCGTGTATGAGTTTAATAAATAAATCTGCAGCGAGTATCCATCAATTTTTCAGATGTAAATAGAAGGACAAGGAAGGCCATCCAATTGGGCTGCAAAAACCCAGATGACCACTAGAAGGCACCAAGGAGCTTATCTCTGCCATCATCTAGCAGCAGCCTGGATTTTTGGCAGTCCAGACCTTATCACCTTAGGACAGAGGGATATGTAGACTCAACAAAAGAGGCAGTTAATAAATAATAAAGAAACCAGCTATCCCACAACCTGAATCCATTATTTTCTGTAATTCAATTGTGGTCTTTCAGCTGTTGCAGAAATCCAATTCTCAGCCAGACCTCCAGCAACAGGGGCACTGCAGACAGAGGCTGTAAGTGTAAGGCAGCAACATCTGGAGGACTGTAGGTTCTTCACCTTTGCTTTAATGGAATTCCCCTTTATCTACCAGCTTTGCAAATACTCAAACATGGAACATGTGAAACTACCTGTTTCTAAGAGCTTACTAGCAGCAGTTTTCCAGGTTTCAGACAAGAGTCCTTCCCAGCCCTGCCACAAGAGAGAATAGTATTATCTATGGGAATATAGACTTTCCCCAAGCAGCTTGATCAGTAACAGAAACCAGAGTAGCATTGGAGTCTGGGCACATTGGAGTCTGGCCACATTGGAGTATTGGTCAATAACCCATTAGCATGCAGGAGCACTGACTGTCTTGACAGCTCATCAGCTTATTCAAAGGTTACTGAGAAGGTCAGCTGTCTGGGTAGACAGGCACACAGGCATCTGCACTTCAGTCAAGGGGGAACCCCTGGGACAGCTGGAGCATCTGTCAAGTCAAGGCTGGGGGAAGGCAAAGACAGCAATGCAAGTTCAACCAGGAATTCTCCACACTTGGCAACCTGAACGTTACAGTTCCCTGTATGCTTGGTCTTCACAGATCACTGGGTTCAGTCTCCCAACAGCTGCTACCTGGAGCTTTCTTGAAAGGCTTCCAAAGAATAATCTTTCTTCTGCACTGGTTTTTCGACAGGGACAAACACGCCAGGGGAAACAGGACAAACAAGGAATTACCATAGGAGCTCTTGCAGGCATTTCTTGAGGGTGAGGGTGGAGGATTTAAGCCAAAAGAATCTCTGTCTCTTGAACTCTTTTTTAAACTAACACCCTGAAGCAACCCAGTCTCTGGACACAGGTGAGTCGAACTGCTTCCTCTGCAGGGATTTCTTAAAGAGTCCAAATTCCCAAGCAGGTTACCTTATTTTTAGATCCTGCTTCCAGATCCAGCACAATACCATACGGCAGGGTTTCTCAATCTTTTCTTTACCACAGACCTTCCTTTATTTTGTGGCCACAGACCACGGCCATGTACCATCAAGACTTAACTCAAGGTTTCAATGGTAACATTTCTTCAAGCCTTCACAGACCTCCCTGTGATGACATCAGTGTCCGCAGACCAGATTGAGAACCACAGCCGTATGGAACATATGAAAAAGTGTGGGTGACAAAGAGTGCCTCTGAGCATGAACAGTGCACAGGAATCTTGTGGCACTGAATAGCTACACAGACCTTCTATAACCAGCATGGGATTTGCAAGGCAATGGGGTTTCCAAATAACCTGAGCTCCAATGCATCTAATTTGAGGAATGTTACCTCTCCCAAGAGTCTCAGCCGATGGCGGCACCTGCTTGACCTTGGCTAGGGTTGTCAGGTTAGTTTTGGCTGGATCCCTGGAGGAGAAATTTCCCTGGAATCTCTAAAATGTAGGCTAGCCTGGAAAGTTGAAAACCACCCACAAAACAAATACAGGTGGTAAATCCCTTCTATTCTCCTGTTGGGAAAATCACACAGACAAGTCCAAGACACCACCCATAGGTGTTGAGCTTGACTTTACGATATCAGTACTGAACCAAAAGCAACCACTTCCTCATCCTCAAAAGGCCTGGATAAACCAATCCTAATTTTTCAGTTAAGTAACAGAAATTATCTTCCAAAGCTTTCCTGCACACACGAGGACTAGAAACATGTCCCTTGGAAACACTTTTTCTTGATATTCCACGGGATGGGGCGGGGGGGGGGAGGTTTCTAAGCAGCAGTTTGAAATTTGGCGTATCCAAACCACGCATGGCACCTACCTACCTACTCCGTTCCCATGGTGTAAAGTAAATGCAAAGCACTGAAGGAGCCGTCGTGCCCACACACACACCCCGAAGCCTCTAAGGGCAACATTCGCACCCGGTCCCCTCGTTTGTGGGTCGAATAAAACTTTCCACGTTAGGAATGTTTCCCCGGCGATATTTGGCCCTCGCTTCCATATGGGGCTCCTTTCAGCTTCCCTCACGAGAAAGCCCGCTGGTCCCACCGCGGCCACCCTTTGACCTTCTGCCGGGCTCCCAAGGCCGCTGCGGGGCCGGAGCTCCCCACCTCCCTTGGCACGGCCAAGTCTTACCCGTCCGGAGACGCGGGCGGGCCTTCCTGTGCGCCAGCAGCTCTGCTCTCGCTCTCTTTAGCGCTGCCGCCTTTTTCTGCCGCGCCTCCGCAGCCGTGTGCCGGCCCCAGCCGCCGTTTGCTCTTGGCCACTCCCTGCCACTGGAATCTGCCCCCTGGAGAGAGCGTATTCCTCGGGCACACCCCGTGTCAGGGCTCCACCTGCTCTGGGGAGCGGCGGGGGTGACCGAGCCGGTACCGCCGCATTCTCTCTCGGGAGGAGGGATTAGCCGGCGCGTAATCCTCCGTCAAAGTGGCCCGCGTCTTCCGACTGACCCTCATCGCCGGCCAAGTGCGGGTTTATGGCCCCTTTCTCTCACCTGAGGCTCTCCGGGTCCCTCTGCCTAGGAAATCATACTCCTTGAAGGAGGGGAGGACTCGCCGCAAATCTAGCGGCGTCTCTTCACCAGACAGACTCGTAAGTAGGTTTCTTTCGCGCCTTCGGGCGTGGGGACTCGACCTGAGGATAACTTATTCCAGAAGATGGTTTGCCCTCTGCCCTTCCGATGGGCTTGCAAATTCCGTTCATAATTGTAGAAGCCTCCGGGGGCCGCCTTGGCTTTATACAGAGAGAGCGCAGAACTCCGACGTCTTAGAAATCTTCCACTCCGAACCGAGCCTCCAGGAGAACCGGCTTCAATTTCCTGAGTCTGCTGCCGGAATTTTTCCAGCCCCGCTGGCTGCAGACAGAAGCCCCTAGTACCTACTTAACGGATCCACCTTCCTCTGTCTGGTGCAAACAACACGCTTACCCCGCGATTCACCTGATCGCAATTTTCTTAAATCGACTTAGGGTTTAGGTTTTTAACACACTAACCCTAAATTAATTACATTAATTAAATTAACCACTTGTTCATATACCACATTTCCTTCAGGTCTTGAATTGCAGTAACACACTTCTTAATTTGTCTGAGACTCTGAACCATAATCCAATCCAATGGGTTGCATTCACACCACATTCTAAACCAGAAAACTAAGCCAGTTTAGCATGTGTTGTGAATTAAGGCAGAGAGTAACAAGGCAGTGAAACTGACAAATTAGCTTTCAAATGTTTGGTTAGGTAGAAAGTGGTGGTGCAGCTGGCAATATCGTAGGGTAACTCATACAATAGCTGTGTTTGCACTATATGCTTTCCATGTTTAACCACATTTACTTAATCAGCCCAATTTTCAGGGTTTTCATGAGAAACTGAACTACAAACTACATGTGAGTGTAGAATACAGTTGGCCCAAAGGAGCATTAAGTGAGGACAGACTTACTGCAGAAGGCGGGTTTGTCTGCAAAAACCACCAACTTGAAACACAGATTATTGTATAACTAGATTAGATTAGATTAGATTAGATTGATAGATATGCAGATAACATATGTGGAGTCAGACTCTACAAAATGACAAAACCAGTAATCATAAATAGCCAAATAGTTCTCCATTTATTGCATAGTTTAATACGCTGAAAATACATTTTACTACAGTCACCAAAAGAGTTTAAAAAGTCCAAGAATTTGTCAGCACCCAAAATCTTTGTAATTAGTATCATCCAGAGGTAAATTTATTTCTTTATGAAACAACTAGTAAAATGGGATTTTGTTTCTGGAAGTAAGGAGACTAAAGACCTTTTTTTTTTATTGGTGATGTGTTAGTTTTGTCAAATGACTCCAATCTCTAAAATAATTGGGAAATAATGCATAAAAGGTTGTCTTCTCCCTGTGCTCATCTTTCAAAATATCACACAATGAAGCCATTTTAATGTCGTAGCATACGTGCCCTCTGGTAATCGTAATCTCCCATCCAGTTCAACTCTTCTTCTGCCTCTTTTTATCCTGTCTTCTTCCTTCACTAATGTTCAAGGTTCACACATTGTAGTAAAACACACGGGTTATAGTTCTTATTTTATTGAATAAGCCACAATTGGATGGGTTTCCTGGGAGATTTCTCCAACTATAACACTCAAGATATGTGGACACCACCTCTCAAAATTCTCAGGAATGGTGGCTAAGGAATTATGGGAGTCGAAGTCCACAGATCTGGAAAGCAACTGGGTTGGGGAAGCTGCAGTAAATTATAAATAAACCGCTGTTGATAAATCACACTTGGCTGGGTTCATGTAATACATGTGTCAGTGTTCCAAGAAACAACCTCCAAATTGAAAGACTCTGTCATCCTCTCAAAGATCCATTTTATTAGTCATATTGCAAGGGTCTTCAAACTTGGCAAGTTTAAGACTTGTGGACTTCAACTCCCAGAATTCCTGAGCTAACGACTGGAGGAGGAATTGTGGGAGTTGAAGTCCACAAGTCTTAAAGCTGTCAAGTTTGAAAACCCCTGGTCATATTGGCACATCTGAGGAAAGAGAAAGCCCGAAGAGAATCCAAAATCCAACCCCTGCACCCAATAGTTCATCACATGGTCCAATCATTGCTTCGTTCCAACTGGAGACTATCCCAAAGCACTCCCCTCCAGGTGCAGAGTAACATGTCCTTGACTCTCTGAGAAAGGAAAGTTGTTATGACTGTTCTTCCATCGCTCCTTGAAATCCCTCTCCCAAATTCCCAAGCACTGAATGTGGCAGCCCAGAAGCCTCAAAGAAAAATGGCTTCCAAGCTGACAACATGGGGACCAAACTCTCTGTGTTACATTGCCGTCACGTGACATTTCGCGACATTTTCCCCCTTTGCAGAGCTGGATGGGCGTGGCCTGCATGTGAGGCATCTGGCCAGCGGGCTGCCAGTTTCACACCCCTGAGTAATACATTAGGTCAGAACTCAAGAAGCCACATTATGACATGGTATTGTCAGGACTCCCACAAATCCACCCCCATTCAAATCAAAAGCCTATATTAAGCAGGCCTGAATATCTCAGCTGTTCTCAACCAATCATATACTGGAATTATCAGGTAGCCATTTGTCAAAGTCTGAAGGACTTTTCAGCCATTGTCCACTCTAGGGATAAGAATCTGAAACAAGACTCACAGGATTTCACAGATGTTCCTTATAGTTACAGGTAGTCTTCAACTTACAACCTTTCATTTAGTGAATGTTTGAAGCAGAGGTGGTATTCAGCAGGTTCTGACCAGTTCTGGAGAACCGGTAGCGGAAATTTTGAGTAGTTAGGAGAACCGGCAAATACCACCTCTGACTGGAGAAGATTTTACAGTATCCTTCCACTGCCATGCCCACCAAGCTACCCCCACAGAACCGGTAGTAAAACAAATTGAATCCCACCCATGTAACATTGAAGTTACAATGGCACTGAAAAAAGTGATTTATGATCATGTTTGACACAGCCATTGCAGCAGTCACATGATCAAAATTCAAACGCTTTGGCAACTGGCTCATATTAATGATGGTTAATATTTGCTTCTGATAAGCAAAGTCAAAGGGGAAGCTTGATTCATTTTACAGTGACGTTACTAATTTCACAACTGCAGTGATTCACTTAACAGCTGTGGCAAGAAAGGTTGTAAAATGGGGCAAAAGTCACTTGACAATTGTCTCACTTAGCAACAGAAATTTTGGACTCAGTTGTGGTTGTAGGATGAGGGCTACCTGTACAGCCTGATCATAGGGGAAGAAGATATAATCTTTAAGAGGATCTGCACAGCCTCTAAATCGGGTGTCAAACTCGATGTCATTGAGGGCCGTATCAGAGCTGTTTGACCTGGGGGAGGGTGGCTGGGAGGTGGGGGTAGCCAGCTCGATGTCACTTGTGTTGGGGGTGCCTGTGGTGGCCTGAGTGCTCTTCCAGTTAAAATGGAGCTTACACGCAGCCCTCCCGAGCTCTGTTTTGTCTGACGGGGTTGCAGGAGGCAATCGCAGCTGAAAACGGAGCTCGGGAGGATTGTGTTTGACCTCAGGGGGTCAGGGTGGGCGTGGCCAGATCGACATCACTGGTGTCAGCTCGACGTCACTTGTTTTTGGCCTCAATGGCCTCCTGCAGAACCCAAAGCTCTCTTTCCACTGACAGAGGCACCACGGGCCAGTCCTTCGCTGTTTCCAGGACGACCCGGGAATCCGGCCTGCGGGCCTTGAGTTTGACACCCCTGCTCTAAATGAATGGACTGCAACTCCCAGCACTGCGTCCCAGAGAGGCTGGGGCTAAGTGGAATTTTAATCCTGCTCTATCTGAGACTTTCAAGCCGGAGAAGGCCACTTTAGATCCCTCTGTACAACCAAATCATTTGTATGTCCGGAAGCAAAAGTGTCTTTTTGCAGCTGTCTTTTGAAGGGGGTTCCTTAACATTATTTTTCTTTTAATACACAAACATCTGCAGTGCTTCTTACACAAGGAAATGCCTGAATCTGTAGAAAACATTTCTTTATTTTGCATCACATGGTCTCTCACCTCCAAACCCAGTCAGTATTTAAGTTCCCTTGTGTTTGTTTTTATGAGAAATGAGTATTTACAGGAATGGCCCTGAGGTGCCTCTGGGTTACAGCCATTATATGTGAGAAAGGTGAATTAAACCCTACATTCCCAGCAGCCGCAACATCAAAGACAGTTCAAGAGGAGAGGTTAAATTCCAGCGTGGTCTCTGTTCAGGTTTGACTTCTCTAACCAGCTTGCACCAGGAAGCCAAACCAGAATGTCCTTTGCCAGAGCTGAACTCAGAGAAATTGTTTGTCGGAGAAAAGGTTTCTTTTTGTTTTTCCAGGAAAACTCAACTGATCCTCCACCCCAAGAATACCAACTAGAGAAAAATGCCAAATGAGAAATTGGGAAAGCAATCTAGACTTGTGTAAGGCACAACAAATATGGGGCTTTTTTTTTTTTTTTTTTTTTTTCACAGTGATCACCTAATCCCTCTCCCCAAAACATTCCTTTATCCACAAACCTCCTAAGAGTAACTGAATCCTGTTTTACAAACCAGAAATAAATTATTTCCCTGTTACTTCCAATACTAGATCTTCATTAAACCAGCCACAATGATTAAAGAAGGGTGCCACCTACTGGTTCACCTTTTCAGGACAAATCAAGCAAGCCTACAGATCTGAGAATTGTTGAACTGAGGCCTGAGACATCCCCCACCACACAACAATTATGATGTCTTGTTTGTCATAACAATTGCGTCATAA